TGTATAGGGACTCGAGTGCTTGTGTTGGGATCAACGGGGCCCACTCGGCCTGGTTTGGCATCCATAAAGGTCAGACAGAGCTGTGTAGCTTGCCCGTACTGTTCAGCCTATTTATGGACAGTTGCTTGGAAAATTTGAAAGTTGAAGATTACGGGTTAAGAATGTGTGAGTTAACCATCAAATGCCTTTTGTACGCCGATGATCAAGTCATACTTGCGTCGTCGGCGGCCGAGTTGCAAATGATGGTTACATTAATGAACAGGTCATTAAAGGAAAGGGGAATGAAAGTGAATGCAAGTAAGACGAAAGTTATGGTTTTTGAAAGAGAAGAAAGTAAAACGATATGTGAAATAAGAATAGAAGGGGAGATGGTCGAGCAAGTAGATGAATTTATATATTTGGGAAGTCTATTCAGCAGGTATGGGAGATATGATAAGGATATTGAACGAAAAGTGAATGCAGGAAATAAAGTAAATGGGGCTCTACAATCTATTGTGAAATGTCAGAATGTGTCAAAAAAGGCACATATGGCAATTCACAATGCTGTATTAGTCCCTACTTTAACGTATAGTAGTGAAAGTTGGGTGTGGCAGAAGCACGAGAGTGGAATAAATGCAGTAGAAATGCGGTCGCTAAGGAGTATGTTAGGGCTGAATCTGAGTGACAGGGTGAGAAACTGTGTGGTTTGCAAGATGATGCGGTGACCAGGATTAAGAAAGGAATGCTTCGGTGGTTTGGTCATATAGAAAGAATGAATGAGGAAAGACTGAAAAAGCAAATATATGTTGCAGAAGTGAATGAAAGAGTAGGAAAGGGACGTACCAGGCGAAAGTTTGTCGAACAAATTGGCGATATATTAAAAATGGGCCAAATTAAGAGTACCCTTAACCGACGAGCATGTATGCGTCGGTATATGGATGTGGAAGAGGCGAGAGAGGTATCTCAGGATCGTGCTAAATGTAAGTCTGTAGTATATGCCAACCCCTCTGGGTGACAGGCGTGAGTGTTTGTGTATTAGCTTCCGATGTCAGGGCTAGATCGGATATTAATTCTCATATACACTATGTCTTAGCTCTGACCTCATAAGCTATTATGTGGAAATTATTTTATTCTTTTAGTTCCAATAGTATCAAAATGATTCGTGCTAGATACAAAAATCTTTTGATAACCTTGCGCTCGCCCCAAATTGAGCAGTTACGCACACAGAGAAGTGTAGTTTAGTTGTAGTGTGCTTCAATATTACGCCGTTCCAGAGCGATTTTGATTTGCGCAAATTTGAATATACGCTCTTAATTTAAAGCAATTGTAATTCGATTGAATCTCTTTTTGAAATAAAGATAGTTATGACTTTAGACTTTTACTTTGCTCCTTTTATGATGCTAGCAAAAGATCTTACCTTTGCATCTGCATCGGCCATAGTTTTATTTTTTAATATCGTGACAACCCCTAGCATACACACGCCCGGTGATGTACATGTTTCTTACAAGAACTATCGAAATATGATTGTTAAGAAAGCGGTAAAAAAATTAAATAAACAGTTTTGTGCACGAAACTGAATAACTTGAAAAATTAACCGAATCTTTAACGTGATATTCTAAAAAAATAAATAAAAATCATATAACATGTGCACAAAAATAAGCAGCATCTACGTGCGTTTTGTTAGATTTTAATTCAAAAAGTACAAAATTACGACACATCGTCTCGTCAGGTATACCTCAACCTGATAACTAGATTGTACAACCAGTGCGTGTTGCCAGTGATGAATTATAGATCCGAGACGTGGTCCTTTACTGCTGGCCGTATGAGGATGCTCAAAATTTAGAAATGATATCTGCAGTAGAACCAGAGTGACCGACATAGCCCAATGGATTAGTAAGCTGAAGTGCCAATGAGCCGGCCATATAGCTCGTAAAATCGACAAGCGATGGGTAAAAAAGGCTCTCAGCTGGCAGCCTCGTACGGGTAGGCATAGTGTAGAGCGACCCCCCCACTAGATGGAGTGACGACCTGGTAAGACATGCAGGAAGTCGATGGATGCAGGTACCTCAGGACCGTGCTTTGTGTCATTCCTTGGGGAAGGCCCATTTGTAAGGCCGTAATATATAGGGAGATGATCCAACCAATAAATATTGTGAAATTTTTTAACACTGCGCACAGTTTGATAAGCGGTAATCGTAGTTACACAGTGATCTAGTCACCTTCTTCTGCCATTTGTATAATCCAAAATAAGTATTTCGAACCGGACTAATTAAAAATCCCTAAGTCATAGACTAAATGAATTTATCGACAACGTTTTGTGTTTCGCTAATGGCACATCAATCTGAGTCAGATGAAGTTGTAAGAGTCGCATAGACTAACAGCAAAAACATCTCGAAAATAGAGAGGAGTCTATGAAATAGAAAAACGGCAACAACCTTGTAAAACAAAGGAGGTGAGAAAATAATATAGCTACCTATCTTATTTCAAACCGTGTTAAACATCACATGTATAAAGAGCATAACTTTATGAATTTTGTTCTTGTTTTAGGACTATCTATGCTAGTAAATACTCTGAAGTAAAATGGGGCGCCCGCTTTCGGTAGGGAGTAAGGGTGTTACCACACCAATCGAGCGATAGTCAATCGATGCCATCGATCGATTGTGGGACGGATTAGTCGACGCCGATTGACAGTTTCCACCACAACAATTGACCGATGACACCGAGCGATGGTAGAGTGGATTAGCCAACGTCATTACAGAATACCAGCGTAAAATAGCAGCTTAACACTGCTGTTTTTCGTATGGTGAGTTTAGAGATCCGGAGACGCTTTTTTACTGGAAACGAGGCATTCCATCGTAGTCCTCAGGAGTGACAACGCATCTAAGTTTTGATTCTTAATCAAGGATAAATGAAGGTGTCTATGGGTCACAGCATCCACTTAACATAAGGTGGACGGTGTGCTCGTTTGTTACACTTATTCTATAAGAAAAAATATCTCTGGCCAGAAAAAAGGGTCGCGTCCAGAATCTTCTGCATTTGCATCTGCTTAGTAATAATACGATCAAGAGCGTACCTGGCCAACAATAACGCGTCCTTTTCTGAATATATTTTAAAAGATACTTACGATGAGCCGGCAACTACATCCATTGATTTTCGATTGACGTCGATCAATGATTGAACAACGTTATGTCGACCAGTATCCGTTGATCAGCTAAAGTTACTAGGCCAATCAATCAACCTCATCACCCTAATAGTGTTTGATAACTCCAAACTAAAAATCTAAAACAGGTGTCTATGAGTGTACACTACTAAAGCGCCTTATTCACGCTCCATCTGACCTGAATGTACGTCCCTCTAAGGTCATGCAGGATACATGACGCAATACTACAAGGAGTAGGCTTGACGTACGTCAAGCCACTAAAACGGGCCCTCAAATTTTCTGGTTCTGCGGGTCGCCTAGATGTGACCCATTTACTTTTTTTAATATATAGTGGTCAATCTAATATTATCATATAATTGATTAAGATGAAATATTGTAAATATCTATAGTTTTTAGTGATTCAAATCAATACTCAAGCATTATTCACGTAAATCCTCATGCACCGTTCTAAAACAAAGGCAACGCTTGAGTGGTGAATATATATGTTCCCCTTTTTTTGTTGTCTCCCCTTTGTTCTAGATCATTTTTTATAAACATTTCATTTGCGTACTCACTCTCAATACCCTTCAGATCGAAACATAGCAGTACAAGTGTTCATCTGAGGAATAATTTCTATGCAATTACTTTCTTGTCTCATCAATATCAACAAAATACCGCATGCAGCATGATCAGTCACAAATGCTCTCAATCAGATTACGATAATGATTATCTTAGTTCTCTAGTTTGAATTCAATACACTTACCGAAAATATTTTTGTCATAATTATTTTTTATTAAAAGCAACGATATTTAAATATTTTTTATTGCTTAATGCGATTTTTTTCGGGCTTAATCAACAAAATATTATCAGAAGGTGATCAGTTACTCTATTCCCTCACTCTCGAAGTCCGATTGGATGGTACTAATTAGTTTGTGGTACGGTAAATCTTCCTGTATAGGACAGTTATAAACTTTTAGTGTAAACCGAAATGACCAGAGAGAGATCAGGCGCAGGACCAACGGCTTTTCGTGTTTACCGAGGCATGAGGTTGAGACACCACCAAAAGAAGAATAATATAAATAAGCCAAACCTTTAGTATACTTTATTCATAAAAATTGAAATCTTATCAAAAGTATGTACTCCTAAATTTCAAATAATTCTAGCAAAAAACGTTAAGATATAGTTAACCTTAAACCCTAAAGTCAAAAGTAGGAAGTTGATTGTTGTAAAAACTATTTACATTTTATAATGTTTTACCTACATACTTATTATGTCAAATAATGGTAGAGCTTGAAAGTGAAAGTCATTAAAATTTAAAAGTATGAGAATAATAATGCTGTTACATAACTGTTTAGCAATTTTTTTAAAAATGTAAAATATTTTTAATTTACAAAAAATCTCGAATATGGTAGGAATTTTCTTGCTTTTAATACTTTCATAGTGAGAAAACGTTTATCATACAGTGAATCAGTGACTCCGTGAACGCATCTGTACTGCGGTACTTTTTCATTCATTCAAGTTTTCAAGTTTCAAGCGCACAGCGATTTGTAGAAAGTAAAGAAGTTTGTAAATTTCCATTTGCTTTATAAATTAAGGGATTTAAAATTATTAGATCCCAACTAACACGCGCTAAATAATGACAGACGTAACGAAAAAGGTAAACGGTGTACTAAATTTTATTGTTATTTTCCTTTATTTTTGACACGAGTGATGAACAGTGAAGTGTGCGAGCAGGCAGGCCTATTTTGTGCTAAAGTACGCCATAACTCAGTTCGTTTAAACGTTGCCTTGAAGTCTTTGATGCGCCTTGATATTTTTGTGTAAATTTTCGTGGTGGTTTAGATATTTATATTAAAGTCAACATAACCTCAATTAAGCGGCCATGGGTATCAACGAAGTTAGCGTTGTACGTGACGTATATTGCATATTGAAAATTTCACTGTTTAGTTTTGTGACATCATATAAAATGTCGTGTTTCCAGGTTCAAGAATACAAGGACTCTATCAAGCAAAAAGCTGAGCACCTTATCATAAAGGGATTTCCAGAGAAGATAGTAAAGTTAAATGAGATGTTAGAAACTTCAAACTTTCAAAACCGTGATTTAGCAGATGTTCATCAGGTAATGGCTTCTCAACGTAGAATGTTCTATTTCGTCGTAAATTATTTGTGCCTTATTCCTGTGTTCATTTTATTTGAAGTTATGAACATTTCAGTGTTAATTTGATAAATTCAACGTTATGATCGCGGCTTTTCCCCCTACTAATGTATATTCTTAATTTCGTCTGTGTGCTGTGGTATTTTAACCATTCTTTCAACTAATTTATATCCTTTTCTCAGAAGTATATCAATATACAATAGATAATTTGCTAAATCTTTAAAAGTAACTAGCATTAATATTATGTATTTAATTTTATTATACTCATTATTATACAATCTTTGGAGTTTATTTCATACTAATATTTTTATTCCCAGGATCTAAACATTCCAATACCACCACCAGCAATTTCTTTGAATGAACCAAATGCAAAACGTCAAGCGACTTGATTCATCAGAAACATCTAGCACGACAACAATAGATGGTACAAGAGTTTATGCATTGCCTAATGGAACAGTACCATGTAATAAACCACTGAGTGACCTTATTCATCTGGTTAAGCCTCACATAAGAGAGCTAGTTGAAGATTCTAATTTGGTAGATATTTTTTATTAACTGTATTTTAAAAATTATTTTTGTCAATACAGTTATTAAATTTAAGCTTACTTAAAAACAAAATATAACATAACAATTGTAAATTAACATTTTTTAACATTTTTAGTTGAAAATGTGGATTTCATTTATGATTCCTAAAATTGAAGATGGAAATAACTTTGGTGTATCAATACAAGAGGACACACTAGCTGAGATTCAGTCTGTGGAGTCTGAGGCAGCCGCTTTTTTCGACCAAATCTCACGGTACTTCATTTCGAGAGCGAAAATAGTGTCAAAAGTTGCTAAATACCCACATATTGATGACTATAGGAGAGCTGTCAGAGTAAGTGTTGAATGATACTATAGTACTATTTGCATTTAATAGTTTAATGTACATTGAGGCAGTGTGGTCAACATTTCCTTGCCTCTTAGAAGTGAAAAGGAAATGTGGCCAGCAGCAGAACACATATAGGATGTTACTTTAAATTTTTGTAATAAACTTAGAAGTAACATTTTTGATTACTTCAGATTTCCATATTTAAGAAAAATGTTAAAAGTATAATCCATGCATCCATCCATTAAGCAAAAAAAAAATTTGCACAACTATGTCGCACTACACAAAGCATCTTGCATGCACAAACAGTTTGTACACAGTAGAATCTTGATAACTTAAACCTCGATAACATAATAATCTCTATAAATTCATAAAATTTTGTGTTCCCTTCCATTCGGAGCCCAAAACCTCTTTTACTTAAAATACAAACCCTCTTTAACTTAAACAAATAATTTGGGCGTTGCACCTCAGTAACTCAAAGTTGCAAGGAAGACGACCTTTACAACTTCAATCATCTATCAATGAGTCATTTTAAATGAATGTGCAAACAATAAAGGTTCTAACTAAAAGGTTAAGGAATTATTGCTTACATGGGCTTATCAAATGGCTTCAAATGTAAACAATACACTAAGTTTTAAGTATAGTAACTTAATTGTATCATTATCTTTTTTATATAGATTTTTTACAATCTTTTATAGAACAATGCAGAAACACAGAGGATGATATTGTCTCTTCTTTATTTAATATTGAAAATAAAATTGATATAAAAAGTGTGAATAGTTTTAAACAAAAATAAATGCTGACTTTTTTATGTAGAATAAAATAAACTTGAATAAATGTATCTTTAAACCTAAAATAAAGGATGTATGTACATATTATGTAACATTTAAAAGTTTCATTTGTATTTAACCTAGCTCGTCTATCTATGTGAGTATATAATTTCTAAACAAAGCTCATAAATGAACCTCTGTAAGTATCAGTGGCGTAGTGTCTTAGCAATAAGTGGCTGCGCCGGGACATCCCGCACGGAACAAGTATTTGTATGGCCTACAAGTAATTGTTCTGGGTCTGGATGTTTGTCCTTGTGAAATTTGTGTTTGTAAACTGCCCCCATGATGCAGGAGAAAATCCTAGTGTGGAGGTAACGTCTTCATACAATAAATAAAAATAAAAAAAAATTTACGCTTCCCTTAGTCTTTATCTTATCGAGGTTCTACTGTACTAAGGTTTTGCAAAGAAGATGTGGCGAGTGCTTGTGCAAATTAAGCATTTGGGCAAGACATTTGCACACTGTATATGTTTTACCGAATTGTGCAAATTAGAATTTGAGCAAGTAAGATTGAATGTGTATCCAGGCATTTACAACTTATCAATATTTCACTACTGTACATAGGCTTCCCCCATAGATTGCCTCCATATAGTTGAGTAAAACATATGATTATAATCTTACAATCTATATGAATCTCACTATTTCCTGGCCTGGCCTTTTCCTATATCTGCTAGAATAATTTGCTGTATGTCATTAATCTTAAACATTACAACTGAAAACTAGTCCTTTTTACTATTATTAGCCACTGCTTGACTACTAACCCACCAGATGGTGATTAGTGATGCAGCTAAAGATGGTAAACTGATTTCACTTCCAAAAAAAATCTTTATTCGAAGATACTCACATTTGTATTAGATGGAAAGATGCTGTATGTATTACAAACTACAAAGTAAACTGTATGGTTTAAATCTGTGGTGTGTTAACAATAAAGGTGTAATGGCTGAGCATCAGGTTATTAAATGGTGGAGGGGGTGAGGGAGGAATTATGTCATTCAATACCTATGCACTCTGAAACAACAGTGTATAACACTGAAAGGATCTCGAGACTTGAGACTTGTAATATTGGGATTTTTGGATTCAGTGTTTTAGTTCACCAGTAAGTCTCCTAGTGTATCTCCTAGTGTAAAAAATATGGTTCAAAGCTGCTAGGTAGTATTTTGCAGCACAAGCCTATATATATGAAAGTAATGCTCCATGCAAGAAGAAACTTGCAATTCATATTATTTATATATTGATAGTAACTGTCCTGGTGTGTATTTTTACACCATGTCTTTGCAAAAACACTTACCTTCCTTGCAACTGCCTTAAGCCTGTGCTGAATCTGGATCATATGGGTTGCAGTGTTACTGGGCTTTCTAGATCTGCATAGCTGCTCACACAAATAAAACCCTGGGCTCAATGAAACTACCGAAAGTTTAGATTTGAGCAAATCTCAACCCCCAACAATTGAAGGTGACACAAGCTGGCTCCTTTTTTTAGTCTGGATATTATTTTCTAGCAGTTGTCTTTTGTATGACAATCATTCTTATAATTTTTGGGATGACGCAAGATTTTACTTTGTAAAATGTGATCAAAAGATTTAGTCTACTATTGCTACACCCATGGAACAGAATGGAGTAATATAGCACACTGTTTCTTAGTAATTGTTTTTTCTTAAGATGTAATAAAAAAGTAAAGTTACAGCCTATATACGTCCCAGTGCTGGGCACAGGCCTCCCCCTTATTGTTTCTGAGAGGGTTTTGGGGCAAGGATGTGTCAAATGTCTTCACATGTCCTCAAAATTATTTTTCTTACCAATTTCATTGGTGCCGGAGGGATCAAAACCCCGTTTGCTAGCAAACTGTGAAAGCAAGTGCTACTAGCCATCTGAGCTACCAGTATATAATACACTATATGATAGTTTGATTAGTAATTAGAATTTGCTAAGTTTATTAGTGTCCTAAAACTGAATCCGCTTTTAATTTAAATTAAATTAGATTTATAGTATTTAAAAATATATAACGATGATATTATAGGTCTGTAAAAACTATGCTGTCATTACACTATATTCTTACACAATTTCTACAGAAATGGGAGTTTGGCGGGAACTTAGCCGACGACTGACTCGTTCCTGTTTTGTCGCTGGAATAATCGTTTGAAATGGATTTTAATTCGCAAAAGTGATGTGATTTTGTGAATTAAGTGTCTGCGCGTGTGAACTATTAGAGAAAACAACGAAACAAGTGCTTTGATGTTGATATAAACCTCAAGTTAATTTGATCGCGTGGGCGCCTTATGAACTTGAGTGGCTGTCGTCATCAACAGTCCGCTGGCTTGAGCTGCCGTCAAAATCTCCCAAAAACTTCGCAATGTGATGCATCAGCATATTGTGAAGAAAAAATATATAAAATGAAGATTCTGAAAGAAATGATAGGCTCAGAAGAGCTAGTACCCAGAGCCGTTAAACCATTAAATAAAAACAAATCTACAGAAATAAAAAAAAATTTTTCAGCAGACTGAGTGTCAAATTCCCGAATAATTTAAATTTTAAATATATAATAATACTACAATTTCTTACTTTGCAATTTTACTGAGCTTGTTTATTTCAGGAACTAGATGAGAAAGAGTACTTGTCACTATGGCTGGTCATGTGTGAGATTCGCAATCGTTATTGTTCCCTGCATGATATTGTCATTAAGAACTTGGAGAAAATCAAGAAACCACGCTCTTCTAATGCTGATTCATTATATTAAGCAATAAATTAAATCTCAGTTAGAAATTTAGTACCGCAAGGATTCCTTGTAATTTAAGTGTAATAATGAACATTCTCCTTTTTTCTTTTCACTAGACCACATTTTGTATATAAATACCATGAAGTATTTCACATTGATAAGCCCAAGATAAGTTATTCCTGCGCTTTAAATTGGTTCTTACTGTTCTATTTCTGGTTATTACAAGGTATAATATATTGTTGCTAAAGTTTGTTTCGTTAATTCTAGTTAGTAAAAGGTAGTTACCATATTGTAGTGAAAGACAATGAGGCTGAATATTTAATTTCATTTTAAGTTAAAATTTTCTGAAAATATACATTCCTATAATAATATCCAATAATCTATCGTATTTCTTAATATTTGTGAAGAGTCAGTTATTTTTTAAGCCTATAATGTGAAGTATTTAACTGTAATTTGTAACCTTAATAAATAGTATATATTGACAAATCTACTGGTACTAAAGCTACAATATGGTAATTTTATTCTTTTGTCCATAACCACGAGTTCCCAAAATTTTTAATCCACTTGAGATCATAATTTAAGCGCAATGTAGCAAAGAAAAAAAAAACATAAGTTAAATAGTTTAATTTATTGCACTTTGAAAATTTCTGGTTTAAAGTGCCTGATTAAAAGTAAGGTCGTAACTGATGAAAAATATTGCACTCCATCTGTGTATTTTGGCATGGACTACCCAATTGAATAGAAATAAATACATTTGTATGAATGTCATTACCTTGTTTTATTTATGCCCTATGTAATGCCCATATTATATATTATTAAGTTGGTTATGATTTCTTATGTTTACGCGAACACTACACATTTAACCTCAACTAGTTTTATTACGGATTTTATCGCGTATATCAACTTATTTTATAATACCGACGTTTCGAGCACTTAACAGCACCCATGGTCACGGGGGGAGGGGGGGAGGCGACTGAATAGAATAAAATCCACTAAATCTGAAGGTAGCCGTGGTTAACTGTCATAGTTATTGGGACCTTGAACCCCTCAGTCACCCCTACCCCGTGATGGAAAGTGCTCGAAACTTCGAGAATATAAAATAAGTTACATACACGACATAATCCGTTATATATATTTATTATGTAGATTGTACTTGTTTTATTTAATTTTATGGTACTTATTTATCACCTATAATAGTTCACTCTTATCATTTACTAGGGTAGGCAGGATTTTCGTAATCGCCACGTTTGCTAGGTGAATTAATGATTGTAGTACATAAGAAATTATGCAGTATAAATACGAGAGAAAAGAGTGTCTCGCGGCGTTTACGCTGCACATCGTTGCGTCGCCAGCCTAAGTACTGCCTACATTAAAGGTATAATATCTATTCATTACGGCGCGGTGAGACTTAACACCGGGGCAGCTTTTTATCCTAATTATTACAAATTATTTTTATTATAAAGCACAAGTCCGGTCTAGAATGGCCATTGCCTTGCGCCCCCCTTTCCCCTAGGGGGGTCGCCTCCGATATGGCTAAAAGATATTACCAGATTAAGGCCGGTCTCACAGGTAGTGTTCACTGAGGTTCTCTGTGAGTTCCATATAACCGTATGCTTAGAGAATTTCCCCACCTCCCTCCCCCGTTTCCCGGAGGGTAGCCCCTTTTTGCTTCTGGGCGGAAAAAACCCAAAAAGGGTGTACTGCTTTAACTTCAGGGTTGGTGCTGCAGAATTCCGCCTCTACAGTTAAGAGAGCTAAGGCCTAAGAGGCTTATTGGTAACCTCGATTTGGTTGAAATCAATCCTGTCGGCCTCGAACAAAGGCGCAGAGTAGCCAGCCTATCGGTGTTCTATAGGATGCATTAGAGTGAGCGAAGGAATTATATGCCTTAATTTCCCCCTTTCCTTATGTTGTCGATACTCTAGATACTCTATTCGAATCAAACAGTTTGCTTCGTCTTGTACAATACGTAGAGCATAGAAGTGGAATTCTGCTGTTCCGTTTCGTTACATTCTGTGTGAATAGGCTTTTGTTACACTTAGGTACGTTTGCACTGAGAAACATCCAAGGCATAATGTTTTAAAACAAATCGCATAAAATAAATCACACAATATGTTTTGTTGATGGTGGCGTTCGCTATCACAAAAACTGAAAAGTTTTCAACAGATATTCAAACTTATCTTTCAACATGAGAATGTTTTTACAAATTTGTTTTCAAACATTTTGTTTCTGTAGTTATAAAGATAAAATATGTAATGTTACAATAAACTGTCTTAAATATTTTATTACATGTTCTTTGATTATGCAAACGCTTTTTGATACATTGATAGACTGTGTTTAAAAGATGTTTCTTTGTAAAAATCGCGTCAGTGCAAACTCACGGTAAGATAGTCATCCAATCATCTAAGGCTTTATTATCACATACTACCCGGTAGAAGTGCAGTCAAGTACTAGCTTGTAATAAGTGAAAAGCCTCGGAAAATGTCGAAGAGATAAATCCTGAGATATTTTAGCTGTATTTACGCACGTACGAGTGTGTACAAAAAGGGAACCTAAAAATTTTATGTAAATTAGAAGTAAATTTTATATTTTAACGCGATCAAGTTTCATTAATAAAAAAAATGTAGGGGCGACTTTAAAGAACTGAAAAAAAAAACAGGTACATTATGAAGTCAATGCTAAGATATTATAGTGTAAGTATGTAGTGTATGCATTGAAACATAGTATCTCGATGAGTGTATGTATCCGTCCCCAGCTACAATACGATAGCATGTTAAAATCACCAGCGACGTTTAGCGATTCCCTAAGATGGATCCTATCTTTTGTTTAGGTTCCTGAACGAAAATAGATATTATTATTACTATCACCATCATTACAGCCCTTTACAAGTCCACTGCTTTACATAGGCTACCCCCAAGGAATGACACAAAGCACTGTCATGAGGCACCTGCACCCATCAACTTCCTGCATACCTCACCAGGTCATCATAACAATTAGTTGGCGTCCGCCCTACATTTCCCTTACCGGTACGAGGTTGCCACTTGATAAGCTTTCTTTTCCATCGGTTGTCGGTTCTTCGAGCTATATGGCCGGTCCATTGCTACTTCAGCTTACTAATCTGTTTATACATGTATTAAATCTGTGGAAAATTCGTGTCTGTAAATCTAATACTTTCTGGAAAAACAAGTCTGTTTGTATGTCTGTGTATTAACAATTCATGCAAAAACTACTGGACGGATTTGCGTGAAATTTTTTTATGTAGGTAGTAATACTTAAATTTACGTAACGCCGAAATGTAAGAGGGCTCTTAAGTGACAAAACTGCTACGTAGGTGCAATCAGTCAGCGCCCTGCCTAGAAGTGTAAGCGCCGTGCCTAGGCAAAATTTAGGGTACAAAGGTCCGTTTGTACATATGGCTGAACCATGAAACGGTGCTGAGCCTGGGCGTCTCCCGTTAATTGATGCCCATAAAGTGGACGATGGCACAACGAGGAACATGCAAAGGGCCGCTGCCTGGGTGTCGCCATGGTGCCTCTGAAGCTGGAGCTGGACATGGCAGCATGCGTTGGACGAAGAAATGAATTCAAACGTATTGCGGGCGTATTTTAGGG